CACCCTTCTTCCTCCCCCTTCTTCCCTCGGCCCCCTCCTTGCGCCTGCTCACCGCATGTCTCTGATTCGGCACGCCCAACACAGCGTTTCGTGACCCCATAGAGAGCTCCACGCAAGGCCCCAGCGGCGGCGTTCGCATGCACCCCTCCCCCGTCGCGCACAGAACAGCGTGTCGTGTGGCTCCAGCGGCGGCGTTCGCATGTCCCCCCCCCCCCCCCCCGCGTCCAGCGCGGCGTTGCGTGGCCCAGTCTTGGGCCCCGCCTTTCGCCCCAGCGGCGCTGTTTGCATGCGCCCCCACCCCCCGCCCAGCGAAGGTTTCGCGGCCCCGTAGGGAGCTCCACCAGAGGCCCCAGCGGCGATGCGCGCCTGCGTTTCCCCGACCAAGCACAGCGTTTCGTGGCGCCACAGGGGCCGCGCATAAGACCCAGTGGCGGTGTTCCTCCTCCCCCCCCCCCCCTCCCCCCGCCCAGCACCGCGCTTCGTGGCCCCGTGGGCGCCGCCTTAAGGCGCCAGCGGCGTTCGCGTGCGCCTCGCCCAGCCAACAGCGCGTTTCGCGTTCCCACATGGGCCGTCTTCCCACATGGGCCCCCACCAAGGCCACCCGTGGCGGGTGCGCATGCGCCCCGCCCCCACCCGCCCAGTGAACGTCTCAGTGGCCCCATGGGAGCTCCGCCTTCGCTCGGCGGCGAGTTCCGCACGGCGCCCCCCCCCCACCTCCCCCCCCCCCCCTTTCCCCCCACCCCCCTGCTCAGAACACGCTTCCCGCGCCGTGCTGAGCCCATCCCAGGGGCACCAAATGCAACGTTCGCAGTTGCGCCCTCACCCCCCCCCCCCCCCCCCCCCCCCACCCCCCCCCCCCCCGACTCAGCGCAGTGTTGCGCGGCCACGTACGGGGCTCTACCTAAGGCCCCAGTGGCTGCGTTCGCATGCGCCCCCCCGCCCCGCCCCGCGCAGCCATTCGCGGCCCCATAGGGGGGTCCACCTTTAGCTCCAGTGGCGCTGTTCGCATGCGTCTCACCCACCCAGCACGACGTTTCGCGGTCCCATCGAGAGCCCCACTAAAGATCCCAGCGGCGGTGTTTGCACGCGCTTTCCCCGCCCAGCGCGGCGTTTCGCGGCCCCACAGGGGGCCCCACCTAAGGCCCCAGAGGCGGCGTTCGAATGCGTTTCCCGCGCCCAGCACAGCGCTTCGTAGCCCCATCACAGGGGGTTCCGCCTGGGGCCCCCGTGGCGGCGCGCGCATGCGCCCCCCCGCCCAGCGAACGTTTCGCGGCCCCGCAGGGAGATCCACCGAATGCGCCATTGACAACAACGGTGCTCCCACCTGCATATCGTTGGGTCTTTTGCCAGGCTAATGTTGGCAATCGTTGCAGCTGAGGGGTCAGCCAAGGGCAATCGGATCTTCAGAATGGGGCTTTCAGGGGCACCTGTAGACCCCCTTGGAAAGTCTCTTGGTCGTCTTGCCCAGAAGACCTTGACCGCTTCTGGAGAGCAACAAGGTCCTTATCAGGTTCCCCAAGGGGCCCGCGGAATGTCCTGAAGGGTCTCCCGGGGGGGCACATTGAGATGCCACCCGCACGATTCCTGGCGATTCTCCTGGATGCTTTTCAACATACCTGTAAGGCCCGCTCACGACCCTGAAGGGTATCGGGCGACCTCTCACGGGCCCTTGGGGTATCTGGAGCAGTCCTGGCAGGCCGTAAAGTACCATGATGGGCCCCATTAAGAAGTTCTGTCATATCTTTGGTGAGCCCCATCAAGACTCTGCCCCCGTAGGTGTCTGGAGGGTGTTGTACGAAGCCCCGAAGGGCTTCCAGACCGCTCTTAAGAAGCCACAAGGGTTCCTGGATGGCAACCTAAGAAACCCTAGAGGGTCGTTGGGAGGCCCCTTGGCATGCATAAGTAAGGTTCGCGAACGCTTGTTATTGCGGATGCTCACAACAAGTCGCTTCAGGGCCCCAAAACAACACACGCCTTACATTGCATTTCGGTGGTGTCTTCGCGCGCTCTTTTTCAGCATCTTCCCCTTGGGTTTCCCGCAAAACCGCGCGCCCATCGATGCGTAACTCATTCGTCTGTTCCCCGCACACATCTACGTTGCGTGTGTATCTTGTTCGCTTTCATCGGATCCTAGTCAGCGGGGTTCTTTTGTGCTGGAAAATATGGCGAGGCGTGTCCATTGCGCGTGCCACTATGTGTGAGATGATAACTAATAAGTTGAATAAGAGGCCCTCCAAACAACACATCCAATCGGAAGCACTGTCACACGTAACACACATGAGTGGCACGAAATCATGTAGGTACCCTTTGCAAGACAACAACACAGGGGGACGAACGACTGGACAATGCAAACGTTCACAAACCATATATCCAAACACGCACAAACACGCACGGGTGACGTTGGAAACAACACATCTACAAACATGGCACAACCGCAAAACAACAACACGTTCCGTAATCGCTTGCGTCTCGAAACCCGAGCCGTTTGACGGACTGGCTTGTTTTGCCTTGAACCTCTCGGCCCTGTTTCCAGCGCGACCAGCAGCGATGGCACCCAAAAAACAGTCGTGGCTGACGACGCCTTCCAAGGCGCTGTGGGTGCGCCGCTCTTCGCCGACTACGAGGTTGCGTGTGATGCGCCTTCTGAAGACGATCAAAATCAAAAACATGATCATCAAGAGGCAGGGCTACCGCATGAGGGCCTTGAAGGCGCGGATGAACCGCATCAAGCTCGAGAGCGAGCAGGCATTGAAGGACGAGCATGAGAGCAACGAGTGGACCGAGACGATCGTCCAGAGGATGGAAGACGAGATCTCGACGGACACGGACACTACTGGCTAGCTCCTCGGCGAGTTTCTCCGCAGCTCGGTGCGAGTTTCTCGGCAGCTCTGTGCGAGTAGCGCTGCTCTGCTCTGCGAGTTTCTCGGCAGCTCGGTGCGAGTGGCGCTGCTCCCCGGTAGCTGCAGTGCGAGTAGCGTTGCTCCTCGGTAGCCCTGTTCCTCTCCTCAGTCCGAGGCGGGCCGAATGACACCTCGACGGCGGTGCCTCTCGATACTGGGGCCGACAAGGCGTCATCCTCGCCAGCACCGTCATCATCGCCATGAGCGCCATCATCAGCATCCAAGAGACCAACATCATCATTACAACCAACATCGCCATCATCGACCTCGGCCCCCTCCTCCTTCTCATGACCACCACCATTATACTCGTTAGCAATATCATCGTCGTTACCACCATCCTCTTCACAATTCTCACCGTCATCCTGGTCAGCAACATTCATACCACCATCAATACCGTTACTACTACCATCTCCATTGCCGTAATTGTTACCATATTGTGTATAGCTGCCACCCTGCTCTGCAGCGCAACCATCATCAATATCGGCATCAACAGCATCATCATCATCAACATCACACTGCTAACCGTTCTCGTTGCAGCCATCGGCCTTGAACTCTACACCATTGTCCTAGTCATGATCACCATCGTCAGCGCCACCATCGTCATCGCCATAGCGATCGTAATCATAACATCGTCAGTAACATCATCTTTCTCATCATCACCATGGCCATCATCACTTTTTGTATCAACATCGTTACCATCATGTCTACCATAGTCAGTCTCGTCATATGCATCCTCAGCATCAGTGTCATCCGAATCATCGTCGTCATCATTACCACCATCACAATCATCGTCACCATCATTCGCTCTTGCTTGGGTGTTCCCTCTATGCTTCGGGCCTCGGTTTCCTGTTCGGTCGTTGTCCCTCCGCCGTTCGGTCCCTCTTGGCCCTCGTTTCGTGTCTTGTCGGTCCCTCGTCGGGCCCTCGATGTTACGAGTATTGATCTAGCTCTAGCCAACGGCCAAATAAATTCCTCGCCCTCCTTATCCTCGCTCTCCTTACCCTCGCACTCCTCATCCTCGCACTCCTCGCCCTCGCACCCTCCATCCCCGCTCTCTCCATCATCCTGCTCACCAACCTCGCCCTCTCCCTCGTCCGTGAGTCGAGCGTCCCTGGACGGCGGCAAGGGGTGCTTGCTCCCCTGGAAGGCAGGGTCGAGCGTCCCTGGAGGGTGGTGAGTCGAGCATCCTCGGAGGACGGCATGGGGGTGCCGCCCGCCCCACCAGCGCCGAGTTGCGCCCCGAGGGGGACAGAGGAAGAGGAAGTGGTGCAGTCCAGAGCCCCCCCCCCCCCCACACAGAAGTTAAGAGGAAGAGGAGGAGGTGTAGGAAACCAAAGCGATCGAAAGGGGGGCGTGGCAAAAAGGGGGGGTAGCCGAGGAGCTGGAACAAAGCACGTCTCGAACAAGCACCAGCACAAGCCCCAAGCATGTCTGCAACAAACCATACAACAGTCTCAAACAAGAACGACGCAAACCTCAAGGACGTGCCAAACAAGTCTCAGACAGGCCCCAAACCAGTCCTACACAAGTACCAACAAGGTCTTAACACGTCCAAGCACAGGCCTCGAACATTCGTCAACAAGTCTGAAACAAGTCTCAAATGCGCTGGGCGTTGCCTTCGATGATTATTTGCGCTTCGCGCATCCCTGTCAGCGCCAGCCCTTCCAGAAACGACGCCCAAGCGAATTGTCTAGAGTATAGACATGGTGCTACGATAAACATGGTGCCCCAGTGTGTATGGCGTAACCAACGGCATAACAATTACATATTGCGCCAACTGTGCCGTGCCGTGCCGTGGCCATGCCATAGTATAGCATAGCATTGCGTTGCTCAGCATTGCGCAATCAATGCACCGCACAGCAGTGCAACATACGGCACGCACATGGCATAGCATCACAATGCACAGCATGGCATTGCATTGCGCAGCTGGCATAGCATGCACGTTGAACACTCTGCTAACAACAAACAACACGCGTGAAAACGCAGCCGCTTTGGCTTTGCTCTGTGTTGCTGCAGGTGAGGTCCTAACCGAGTTCCCTGGTCGCTCTTCGCACTGGAACCACGTCCATGGCGACGGCCAGGGAGAGGCTCGCCCGCAAGGTTGTCGAGAGGCAGCTCGGCGGTGCGGCTGTAAGCGAGGGCGGTGACGACAATGACGACGCTGGCTCGGTCAGGACCCTGGGCGCCGACACCGTGGCTACTGGAGTGAGTGGAGCCCCGAGGAAGAGGAAGTCAAAGGCCCAGGATGCCAAGGAGCAGCAGGAGAAAGCTGCCAAGATTGCTCGTCAGTCAAGGTCGGTTTGCTGCTTTGGCACCTGCGGCAAGAAGTTGACTGCGAGTGACAAGAGGGAGAACAAGATATGCTGCCCAGTCCATTACAAGCCATGGGCCATCGGGTACGCGTACATGACAGAGGAGGAGGCTGGAACGAAGTACGGCGACGACCCATCATTCAGGAACGCCTTCGACGACTCCTCGAAGTACATGGTTGACAACGAGATCGAGGTAGACAGATTCTCTCCGAAGCAGGTCGAGGATAGCTCTGAGCAGAAGGCTTCCTGCCAGCGTATCCTTGGCTTCTGGACTCGCCCTGAGATCTTTAACAATTTTAAATATATGCCAGAACAGCTCGGGTACAAGTGCTTCAAGCTGTGGGACGAGTTCGGCACGCCCACCTTGGGCGTTCTCACAAGCGATCTTGAAGGAGCCCCTCGGACGTTCACATTCGAGTTCTCCAAGATGTTGAGTTTGTCGAATCTTTTGGCCCGCCCAGCCTCTACTATTCACGATGGGCAATGCGATTTGGTATACGAGAGTGCCACGGGCAAATTCCACGGTCAGCTCGACCCCAGCGGCAGCACTATCATTTCTATGAGTACCTTGTTGTCTCGGGCTGCGAAGAAGGAGGCAGATAAGAAGGAGGCGGAGCGCCAAAAGCAGGAGGAAGAGGATGCGGAGCTTCGCGCCCTCAGTCTGCATGACGACTCCAGTCAGCTCGACAATGGTCGGGGCCCCTCCGCGAGGTTCGAGGCTGACGAGTTCGAGAAAGACGCTGACATCCTGTCCGTTGGGGCCGAGCCTGCTGCTGTGACCCCAGAGAAGCCTCCCTCGAGCGGCCAAGCACTCCGGGCCTTGTCAGGAACAAAATCTTTGGACAGCCTTCCGGACCCGAGCGTTCAGGAGTTCATGCCCGATGTCGCAGAGCTTCTGAAAAGCGACCTTTTTCTCTTTGTTTTTTATATTTTTCTTTTTTTTATGTGTTATTTCTTTTTTATCAAAGCGAAGTGGGTGTGCAGCTTTTTCTCTGTTATTGTTTTTTGTTTTCTCCTATATCTTTTTATTTTTTTGTTCTTGCTTTTTTTTTGGCTTATTTTTTTATTTCCTATTTGTTTTTCCTGTTATTGTTTTTTTGTTTTTTTTGTCAAAGGTCAATTTCGCGAAGGCCCTCGCTGGGAGGACACCTGGCGGCCACGGCAGGGAGAGGAACACGCTGAAGGGATACATCACGGAGCCCGAGAACATGGGGCGAGAGGAGGCAGTCATGATGAAGGAGCACCACGACTTGCACAAGCAGTGCGAGCAGTTCTCTACCGAGCAAGGCTGGCTCAATGCATCGGACGAGGAGCTTGGTTCGTTCGCGGCTGACCTCAAGAAGCACAACGTCGACCTTCCTACGTCTGCGAAGCTTAGCTGCATGTCCCGAGCATTGCGTGATTGGACGCAGTTTCAGCACAGCATCGAAGACAAGGCCGCGCAGCTCCTGAGCATGATCACTCCGTGGCCCTCGGACGGGGGCAGCGTGGACAGCTTCGACCCCGAGAACCCCCTCGCTCGGCACATCGAGGGCAGCCCTTCCGAGAAGATGGAGAGGTTGCGGGAGTGCTTGATCTCGAAGATCCTCGCGCCCATGATCAGAGATGGCGCGCCCTCCTATGACTCGCTGCTGCGAGTCGTCCACGTGGTCTTGGACATGATCACGGCTGCTTCTGACAGCAAGCATATCGACTTCGAGGTCTACGAGGACCACGCCGACCAGATGATGTCTATGCTTCGGGCGGTCCTGGTTGTGATGGAAACAGACACCGTGAAGCTCAAGGAGTACAATGCCACCTCGAAAGACTACGACCGCTTGCAAGAGTCGACAGGGCAAGGCGGGATGTCCAACGTATTGACGGCCATGAAGCAGATTTCTCACTACAAGGTGCTTCTTGGAGAGTTCATTCGCACTCGCAAGGATTGCGAGACCTACTTGCCACGCCTGGAGGAGTATGGGCAGAAGCTGTCCAGCAAGACCGAGCACAGCTTCCAGGATGACATGACCATGATCATGCAGGCGTGGAATCTCATTAAGCAGACGCACGGTAAGCTTCGGAAGGGCCAGGGCACCAAGCTCAGATCCCAGGCCGAGCAGGCTACGCTCCAGATCACGGGCAGCCTTCCAGATATGATCGAGCAGGGCAGGTTCCCGCCCGAGAGGAGTGCTGAGCTCAAGGGGCTGGTGGATATCACCTCTCAGATGTCCTTCGCGCTGCCGAAGCGAGACTTGTTCTCGAGTTATGTCGTGCGCATCCAGCAGGAGAACAGCATTGGAAACCACGTCGGCACGATGATCAAGTGCATGCGAGCGTTCCAATGCGATGCTGAGCGCGAGACTCGCGCTGCTGACATCAAATCTCTTCATGCCCAAGTCAAGGCGTACATCGAGTTCGGCGTGCAGTCGTTACCTGAGGACCTGTCAGACAGCATCGACCAGTTCATGGTCAAAGTGATGATTGCCATGGGGAGTGGCGAGGACATGAATATGATTCAGGCCGTGCTCGAATACATTCGGTTGGTGTGCGATCTTGGTCTCGATCTCATCGCTTTGAAGGGGGATTTGTCAGAGCAGATGGTGCAGTTCAAAGTATGCCTGACCGAGTTGTCCAACATCCAGTGGGACCTCGTGGCGGTCGTGGGCTTCAAGAAGCACGGAGCCACGGCGGAGGCCATGTGGCAGCGCAGCAAGGGCACGTCGGAGCTCGGCCAATTCGTTGCCGCGAGTGCGGCCATGACTGAGGCCCACTGGCACCGATCTTGCGGCTGCCCTATAACTGATGCGCGCGGCTGTGCCTCCCCCTTCCCTTCCGCAACATCCCAACCACCCCTCTCGACGTTCTCCCCTCCCCTCCTCTCCCCTCCCTTCTCCCTCCTTCCCTCCCCTCCCTTTTTCCCCTGCTCTCCCTCGCTCTCCATCCACTTCCAACTTTCCTCGCCTCCTCTCGCCCTCACCCCTCCTGTTCACTCAAACAGCTGGCCTCTGCGGAGGGGCAGGTGGGGGCAAGGTCGCGCGCGTCGGCGACAGGGCGGCCGCGATTGGAGGGCCACCCAGGCGAGTGCAAAGATCAAGCTGGACTTCTTCACTCGTTGGCACGCGCAGGTGCAAGAGTTGGCCTTGGAGGTGGCCACATTTGATTGCAACTATCAGGTCGAAGACGCCCTGCAGGCATGCGAGAAACACTTCTCGCACTCCATCACCACGGGCGTCGATGAGGGCTTGTGGCACGACGGCCTCAATGACGCCACGACCCTCGACCAGTACTTGGAGAAGGCCAAGGAGAGCATCTTCAAGATCTGTCGGCCCTCGGCGCTCAAGACTGCGATTGATGTGGTGTCGGTGAAGCTTGCGGCGGCCAAGAACAGCCGCGATCTCCACGGCGACAAGGACGAGGGCCGCCACGCTGCGGTGGAAGACATCGCTACCAAGCTTGGCCGTGCCAAGGTGACCCAGGCTGAGTGTCTCATGCTCGTGTGCTGCAGGGACTTCGCCGACACCCCGCTGAAGCTCAAGAGGAACATCAAGATCCACCTCAGCAACCTCAGCTCCAAGGAGAGCAGTCTCATCCCGAAGGGTTTGATGCGCATATTTGAGGAGAAAGCTGATGTCAAGCGCAAGGCAGAGCCCAAAAAGCCGATTTGCCCACCGTAGGTGGCGACAGCAAAACGGGCTCAGTGATGTGTGTTTTAAGCTATACGAGTATGTTGCTTGTGCGTTCTCGCGGTGCCGACTCTGGAGTTGTGCTGTCGACCGCGGCCCTTGGCGAGCGAGCTTCACTCGTGGCCCGCCTGGTCGCGTGATTGTGCACGCTGGTGTGTTCATGATATATGCACGTACGAGAGAAGTATGAATACCCAACAATACATACCAACACATATTAATGAACACACGATTGTTTCAGGCTATTGCTGATCACTGTGACAGGAACGACTTGCCGCAGCCTGCGGCTACATACCCATTGCTTGGAAAGCATGAGATCGTCTTTCCTGCTACCGCCGCCGCCCGCTGCTGCCGCGGAGGAAGGAGGAGGAAGGAGAAGGACGGAAAGGAGTGAGGGGGAAGGAGGAGGAAGAGGGGGGGGGGAAGGGAGGACGACCAGGGAAGGAGCAGGGAGGACGACTAAGAAAGAGTGAGGCGAGGGGCGACTCCCCTCCCCTTCCTCCTCTTCCTCCTCGCTCCTCTCCTCCTCCCCTTTGCCCTTTTCGTTTGTTGGCTCACAGCTACTACTGCTAGCGGCTATTGGTGGCAATGCTGCTGCGAGCGCAGTGCCACCACCACAACCGCAACCCCGAACACCCGCGTTCACCTTCGCAACAACCATAGCCACGACCAGCAAACCTACCGCCACCAATGGCGCGCCAACTCACGCCTACAAGGCGCGACGCCACCCGCTCCAGCTGCACCGCGGCCTGTGGAAGTGTCACAGCACGGATCACGACCATGACCACTGCCAAGCACGGACTCCACTCCAGGGCTCTCGTGCGGCTCACAATGCCACCGCCGCAGAAACCAGAGACTATGGCCACTACCACTACCATCGCAGCAGCCCCTTCCACTGCCGCTGCCCTTTGTCACTATCAACCTTTATGTCATCACCCCTGCCGCTGCCGCGGCCACGACCATACTGGCTCGCGCGGCGCAGCTCGAACAACTCGTAGAGCCAACGACACAAACAACACAGTGTAACCAACGCGGCAACACGAAGAGACGACACCAGCATGAGGGCAACACTCCCAGCGACGGTATTGCTCCGAATCATGTTGGCGGTGACAAGCATTCGCCACGTGGCACGGTAATGCCTGTTGGGGCGAACACGCAGGCGACGGCGGGCTTTCAAATCTTTCCTTCAGGGCGATCACGTTGTGCCGCCGTGCGGCATTGTGATTATTTTTCTGGCGACCATCTTGGCGACCACATTGGGTGGTATTTTTTTTGGCGACCACTTTGGCGACCATATGGGTTACCATATCGATTTTTGGCGACCATTTGGGCGACCATATGGGTTACCATATCGGTTTTTGGCGACCATTCGGGCGACCATAGGGGCGACCATTCGGCGACCACTTTGATGCCCCCCCCGCTGTTGGGTACTAGGGACGTCACGGCAGTAGGTTTACGTTTCAGGGACTTGGGCGCTGGCCGATGCGTTGATGGGGGCCCGAGAATGCGTCGCGCATATTACGCCTTTGGCGCCATGGAGGCCGCATTTGCGGTTGCAGTGGGGCGGGCGCCCCGTCGCGCGCGCCGTGGCGACAGCTCTCTTGGGCGCCCGCCCGCCGCCGTCGACGTAGCGGGCCCAGCTAGTCTCGCGGCCGGCGCGCGGCGGGTCGGCAGCCGCGACGCTGGCGGTCTGAAAGTGCTTTTTTTTTTTCTTTTTTTTTTTTTTTGTTTTTTTTTTTTTTTTTTTTTTTTTTTTGTTTTTTTTTTTTTTTTTTTTTTTGTTTTTTTTTTTTTTTTTTTTTTTTTTTTTTTTATTTTTTTTTTTTCTTTTTTTTTTTTTTTTTTTTTTTTTTTTTTTTTTTTTTTTTTTTTCTTCTTTTTTTTTTTTTTTGTTTTTTTTTTTTTTTTTGTTTTTTTATTTTTTTTTTTTTTTTTTTTTTTTTTTTGTTTTTTCTTTTTTATTTTCGATTTTTTTTTTTTTTTTTTTTAGTTTTTTTTTCTTTTGTTTTTTTTTTTCTTCTTTTTTTTTTTTTCTTTGTTTATCGTTTTTTTTTTTTTTTTTTTATTTTTTATTCGAAAAAGTGTTTCTCCCCGAGCCCGGGGCAAGTGTACGTTTTCGGTGGCACGCGCAGCTCGGATAAAAAATCGCTTTGTCCGTCGGCGGCCACTTGGCTGTCGTAGCGCAGAAGTACTGGCGGATGGCGCGGTCCACGCTCAGCGCCGAGAGCGCGTCTATGAGCGTGGGCTCGTCGAGGGGCAGGGGGAATGACTTCGTGGTCGGGGCCATCGCGGCCCGCGATGTCCACGGCCCCCACCCTGGGCGCGGGTGGACCTGCTGGGCGCCGCCGCAGGCCGATTTCAGAGAATCTCGGAACCAGAAATCCAGGCGCGCCAAATTTCGCGGGCCGAAAAATTTTCAGAGAGTTTCGGCCAGCTCCAGGGTTTTGGGTTTATGGGAATGTTTCAGGCGGGGCGGCTAGTTCAGATATTTTCATAGATTCTCAGAAAAGTTCGGACGCGAGAATTTGGCGCGCCCCGGTTTCTGGTCCTGTGAATCTCTGGAAAGCGGTTCCTCAGGTTTTACCGGATTTCCAGGCGTCCTATTGTCAGCCAGAGACGAGCGACCGGCTGGCGCCGCGCCTGGCGCTTCGGGAGTTGCGAATTCGGCCCTCGATTCCCTGGGGCCCGCGGGCCCCGGGGCCAATCGCGAGGTTGCCAAGGCCCCCGGGCGGTTGCGCGCGATTGTCTCGGAAACAGGAGTCGGGCATCCATGGTGGACGCCCGCGCGTACGCGCTAGGTGTCCGCGAGATTATTCGGTGGCGGATCTTGCCTGGCGCGGGGACCTTCCAGAGACTTTCCGGGTTTTCTCTACGGTTATTTCGGCGCGTTTCGGGGCGCCTGGGGCGGCGCGGGGACGTCGCCGGGCCGCGCGCGGGCCTTTTTTCCAATGCCTTCTCGGGCATTATCGCGGTGTTGCATGGCCGAAGAGGTCACTGAGTAACACGCTTTTTGACATTTACGTGCTTTTCGTTGCGTTGGTTGCGCGACTGGTTTGGCGGTCCGCCTCTTTGGGGCCCCCTTGGGGCTTCAATTTTGTTCTGTTAACGTCGGGTCTTTTGGAGTGAGGCGCGATTGGCGCAGAATTCCCTCAGGCGCGCGCGTGGCCAAATATGCGCCGCGGCCTCATCCGCGCCAGGGCGCATGTCCTCCCTCGCGAAGCCGATGGCGCCCAAGGCGTGGCAGGCCCATTCGGCGGCGCCCCCGGTGATTTGAAAAACCGAGCATGATTTTTATCCCGGTCAAACTTTGCCCCGATCCCGGCGTCGTCTTACCTTGAGCCGCCTGCGCGCCTCTTCGGGCAGCGGGGCAGCGTCGGCCCGCGACGACAGCGGCGCCATGTCATTGGGGGAGGTGCCGCGCTGGATGCGGGGGTGGCAGTGCGCGCCGTCTGCGCAAGCCGGCCCCATCTGGGACAGGCTCTCTCCCGCCCGGCGCGCCGCGCTCGACCTAGGAGCACGGGTCATCCTCATGCGTGGAGAAGGCTGGTCAGGGGAACATCCAACGGCGAACGCGTCCTGATGGCCATCAACGCCAGGTCTGTTCCATGGCGTTGACGCGGCCGCTTGTGGATTTTGATCGTGAGAAGCGCTTCAAGCTGGTGGAGAGTTTCAGGGTGTTGGTGGGCGTCGAGTGGGCTGGGCGCCGGCAGCTCCGTCGAGCCCTGCCTCCCGCGGCGGACGGCCACTCGGGGCCAGCTGGTGCGAGGCTGCGCGACGGGCATGGGCGCAAGGGAGGTGGGTCTCCGCGGTCACGCGCACGTCCGCGAGCCCGAGTGCGGAGCTGGGCGCGCGGCGCTACCTGGGGTTGCATCTGAAGAAGATGGACCTGGAGCTGCCGGTGATCTCGGCGGACCTGGCGGTGGACTCGAGGCGGGGCCTGAGCCGGGCAGGCGCCCTCGTGAAGCTGCGGCCCCCTGTGGGCGAGGGCCTGGTGAACGGCGTCTTCGGAGGCCAGCCCTGCCCCACCTGGGGCTGGGCCCGCTTCAGACCTGATGGTCCTCGACCTGCGACGCCCGCGCGAGCGATGCTGGGCCCCCCCTGGAGATCGTCCGAGGCCGGCCGGGATCGCTCGTTTGGGCGAAGGGGGCCATTTCATGCTCAACCACCCGGCTTCGCGCGGCGGCGCGGCGCGCCACGGAGGGGCCCGGGGTTTTCGAGCGCCCCGGCGACCCCGTCGGGGGCCCTTGCCCGTAGATTTTCGACGCCGTCGTTTCGATGGGCCTCGAGGTGAGATCGGAGGCGACGCGGATGTCGTTCGACCAATGCACGATGGCCGGGGATTCGCAGAAGCCCGCGAGAGTCAGAGGCCACGGCCCAGTGGGATGGGACTAGTGCGAGGAGCTGCGACGGCCCCCGCGCGCGCGATAGCGGGACCTCCTGGACTGCCAAGCAGGCCGCCTGGCCGCCTGCGCTGCGCAAGCGGATAGCAAAGAGCAGTGCGAGGGCGCTGGCGCACGTGGCTGAAACGGCCTTCGCAAGCGTTTAGCTCAGCGTCCGCAGAGCGGAGAGCTTCGGCTAGGAGTCGGCGCGGCGCCGCGCGGAAGAGTCGGGGCGTTGCCCAGCGAGATGCTGAGGTTCGTCGCGCCAGGGCACCGGCGAGGTCGGGGGCCTCGGCATCAATTCTAAACATCAAGGTCAAGGGGCCCCAGACCAACGCGATCCGAGAGTCAGGCAGCCCAATCTGGATGTCACCCCGAGGCCCCCCTAGGCTGTCGCAGCCCCAGCCTAGGGGCCGGCTTATCGTCCGCTACCTCGAGGGGTACCGGAAGCTCCAGAATCCTATCCAGACCGGTTGCAAGATGCCGACAGGGTAACCCCGCACAGACCTCGAGCAGGGTTCGCATCAGAGGCCAGTGCGCGAGGCATGTCTTTCGGCCAGATACGCGAGACGGGCCAGT